TTGATAATTGCATCCATTTGGTGAGTTTCAGCTAAAAAAAGTCTTCTTTTATAACATAATTGAAATACAGAACATCATATTGCATAGACTGAAAACGTGACTACATCGTCATAGTTAGATTTACCAGATATGTTTTAAAGCTCTTTAAGCATCGAAGCATAAAGATGTCATTCAGACTTCTTGCAAACTACAGTCATAACAACCACATTAAGAAATAAAAATTGACAATTATCATGTTAGATCTTATTTTCGTCACTTTAAGTTAAAACATGCTATTAATGCGACAAGAGTGCAGTTTTATGCATGATAAATTTGAGAACATGAAAGATTGTTTACTTTTTAAAACCGCCATATAGATGATGAAGATGATTATCGTGTTTGATGATGATGATGTTGATGATGTTGATGATAATTATGATTGTTGTCAAGATGACATGATGAAGATGACGATGAAGATGATGACATGAGAAGGATGAGGAGGATTACTGAGTGTAAAAATGATGATGTCATTTATGTTTTATGATATTATGATGTTGAAGAGTGTCATTATGACATGATGATAATGATGTTTATGTTTTGGTGATGAGTGTCATTATGGCAGAATGAGGATGACTGAGTGTAATGATGCCGATGTCATTCGATTGTATGTTGATGATGATGAGTGTCATTATGATAGAATGAGGATGACTGGGTGTAATGATGCCGATGTCGTTCTATTGTATGTTGATGATGATGATGATGAGTGTCATTATGGCAGAATGAGGATGACTGAGTGTAATAATGCCGATGTCATTATATTGTATGTTTATGTTGATGATGAGTGTCATTATGGCAGAATGAGGATGACTGAGTGTGATGATGCCGATGTCATTCTATTGTATGTTTATGTTGATGATGAGTGTCATTATGGCAGAATGAGGATGACTGAGTGTAATGATGATGATGTCATTCTATTGGATGTTTATGTTGATGATGAGTGTCTTTATGGCAGAATGAGGATGACTGAGTGTTATGATGCCGATGTCATTCGATTGTATGTTTATGTTGATGATGAGTGTCATTATGGCAGAATGAGGATGACTGGGTGTAATGATGCCGATGTCATTCTATTGTATGTTGATGATGATGATGAGTGTCATTATGGCAGAATGAGGATGACTGAGTCTAATGATGCCGATGTCATTCTATTGTATGCTTATGTTGATGATGAGTGTCATTATGGCAGAATGAGGATGACTGAGTGTAATGATGCCAATGTCATTCTTTTGCATGTTTATGTTGATGATGAGTGTCATTATGGCAGAATGAGGATGACTGGGTCTAATGATGCCGATGTCATTCTATTGTATGCTTATGTTGATGATGAGTGTCATTATGGCATAATGCGGACGACTGAGTGTAATGATGCCTATGTCTTTCTATTGTATGTTTATGTTGATGATGAGTGTCATTATGGCATAATGCGGACGACTGAGTGTAATGATGCCGATGTCATTCTATTGTATGTTTATGTTGATGATGAGTGTCATCATGGCAGAATGAAGTTGACTGGGTGTAATGATGCCGATGTCATTCTATTGTATGTTTATGTTGATGATGAGTGTCATTATGACAGAATGAGGATGACTGAGTGTAATGATGATGCTGTCATTCTATTGTATGTTTATGTTGATGATGAGTGTCATTATGGCATAATGAGGACGACTGAGTGTAATGATACCGATGTCATTCTATTGTATGTTTATGTTGATGATGAGTGTAATTATGACAGAATGAGGATGACTGAGTGTAATGATGCCGATGTCATTCTATTGTATGTTTATGTTGATGAATGTTGTAATGTTGAGTTTAAATAATGATGGATGGCGAGTGTTATGGTGAACCACGAGTAGTTGTAGTTGTGTGTGTGTGAGAGTGTGTGTATGTATATGTCATGTTACTGTAGTCAAGGATCAATCAAATATCGCTACCTGTGTCTTACTGCCAATAACTATGCATGCATCTTCAACTGCCTATATAGTGAGGTGTATGTTTATATATTTCGTATATATGAACATTTCTGTGTAAACATATCTGAATTAAACTAACCAACACAAACTTTCTCCAATACCATGGACTAGCCTCTGCTATCAAACGCTATTAAAGAAAATATGATTCCCTGATAAAAGACCTTCCCAGCCTATTATACCTCTCCTGTTTGATATATTTTTAAGAATAAATTGATAATTGCATCCATTTGGTGAGTTTCAGCTAAAAAAAGTCTTCTTTTATAACATAATTGAAATACAGAACATCATATTGCATAGACTGAAAACGTGACTACATCGTCATAGTTAGATTTACCAGATATGTTTTAAAGCTCTTTAAGCATCGAAGCATAAAGATGTCATTCAGACTTCTTGCAAACTACAGCCATAACAACCACATTAAGAAATAAATATTTGGCAATTATCATGTTAGATCTTATTTTCGTCACTTAAAGTTAAAACATGCTATTGATGAGACAAGAATGCAGTTTTCTGTATGATAAATTTGAGAACATGAAAGATTGTTTACTTTTTAAAACCGCCATATAGATCTAAGTTTATGGCGCCTTATAGATCTAAGTTTATGCCGCCTTATAGATCTAAGTTTTATGGCGCTTTATAGATCTAAGTTTATGGCGCCATATAGATCTAAGTTTATGGCGCCTTATAGATCTAGGTTTATGGCGCCATATAGATATAAGTTTATGGCGCCATATAGATCTAAGTTTATGGCGCCATATTGATCTAAGTTTATGGCGCCTTATAGATATAAGTTTATGGCGCCTTATAGATCTAAGTGTACGGTGCCATATAGATCTACGTTTATGGCGCCTTATAGATCTAAGTTTATGGCGCCTTATAGATCTAAGCATGGTTTGAATAATTACATAAATAGGTATACTGTATATGCATAGATGCATAAGTTGAGTCCTGAAATCAACATGCAGTATAAATACCACCAGACCATTCCTATATAGTAGGATAATAAATATAAGCTCTCCTGAACCAAATTTCCCTAAATAATGCTAAATTTATCTTAGTGTTTCACTAACAGCTAATGAATGAGGACACTGAAGCACCGCCTGCATGTGTGGGAGGAGACACATCTTTACACAGGCCATACAAAGACAGTGACAAGCAAAATCCTGAATTGAAAATAAATATTACACAAATAGAAGAGTTGCAGCTACCTGAATGTTGTCCCAATTTAAGCTCGCACGGTCCAAATTAAGGACAAAGCGATTGTATTTGTGCTGTACAATGATATCTCCCTGTAATCTGTCAACTTTACTTCACACAATATTTTTCTTCTTAGCCATTGATTGGAAGTAAACTAAACTTGACTTGAATCATTCAAATCGATGGATGGTGGGGATCCAAAATTGTACAAATGGAAGGAGTAACCTCTGGGGAACTGAAAGGTGGGGACCAAAAGAGGTTATAACTTGGAATTGGTTGAGATCACCGTTAACAAAATTTACAATAATACAAGCATAGGCCCACCTATAAACTCAGTCCCTGGGTCATAACTTTGAATATTTGGGATCCTTACCTCACAACTAATATCGTAGATCTGGGAAACTTACAAATTTGCAAGACGGAGTACTTACGTTTTGTTTTTTTCTTTGTCAGACCCTAACACTTGTACAACAAATCTTAGTACGGAATAGTGAGCATTCTACATTTATAATCCTGGGCCAAAATCTATTTACTGGCAGAGTTATACATTTTGTGACTTAAGTTTTTGTCCAAGCCATAACTTCTATAATTGTTTATATCTAAGGCATTCTTGCATCATGGATAGGCACCTACTACTAAGCCCCACACATACAGAGTTAAGGCCCTTTGTTCATCTTCTTTGTCATTGCCATAAACGACTACAATGTTTAACTTAGCACTACAGAACTGAATAAACATACATATCTTGGTATGACGGAATGTCACATACTACATTTAGCGCGTTTGGACATGGAAATACATTTACTGCACTAGTGAAACCATGATTGAGTGTGGTCCTGCTGACCAATTTGGTATCTATAACATGTAAACAGTAGAGATACCAACGCTATACAATACAATTGCTTGGCATGGACAGTTTACACATATGCTACCACAATGGTCTCAGTCCGCATCATGAATAAGACATAGTTGAAATTGCAACTCTATCACCATAACTAACCATACTTAAAAAGAGGTGTTGTTATCAAAATGCTTCTTTCCTGACAATTCTATTCAACTTCAATGCGATTATATATATATTTGATGACAATCTAACATTATTGACAAAGGAAAACCTAAACCTGTCTGCCTATTGTTTATATATGCATTTATTTTCATAATTAAATTCGTGCATTCATTTTTTTGCTGTGGCGGACATGGAGTGTATTTTATAAATTATGTTTCGATTAGCTTGTCATAATAATAAAAATAGTACTTACTACAATATAGTCAAAAGAAATGCCTATGTTTATAACCGTGTTGTGCTATCTTATAAAATATCTAGGGGAGCTAACAACAACGTCTATAGCTGTCATGCTGAGAGCACGGTGGCTTTCCACAAATGTCCGAAACACACACATGCTACACTGATATGGGTCACAGCACACATATATGTTCCGAGACCCACATCAGCATAGCACATGTGCACTCCAGACCCCTGCAACGAACCCCTTTGCTGAAAGCGTGTATCGGCCATGCATGACTCTCGCCATATGAACACAAGAGCTCGCTTCGATCAACAGACAAAAATAAGCGAAGAAGTTCATGACACTGTGTACTAAGTAAAATACTACATGTATAGATGTTATTTATTGTGTCATTTTATATATGATATGTGCAATTTATATAATGAATGAAAGGGTTGACGAACAGTTCTTATTTGTGAAAGTCATATGAGAAAACACATTCATATAACTGACTTTACTTACAGCAATACGTGATTTGATTTCATACGAAGCTTGACAAAGGTATTACCTTCTATGACTCCCCCATAGGCTCCGATACCGTGACCCGTCTCGTGAGAGTAATCCAACCCTAGCTCCCAAAGTGGTTCTCTGGCTGTGGCATCAATATCATGACCTAAATAATAAACAATGACAAACGGAGGGTTTTGTGTACATCACATATAAAAAGCGATCTATCTTACAGATACATCTTGATATTGTCGAACCACTACCACTACGTACCACAACGTAATACAATAATTGTATGCTATAACATTTTACTGACCGGATGATATCTTCTCTAAATCAATTTAAACGGAACAAAAACCTTCAGAGGCTGTTTTTTAAAATATAAAGTTAAAGAAAAAGACTGGTATTTTAACCCTGGATCCCGAATCAGTCTTCGATTACTTTTTGGTATTTATATAACAGTTCCTCGTACCCACTGATCTACCTGATAAATGGTTTTCCCCAGCCCCTGTCAAACTACAGTAACATAAAAGCATTCTCTAGTGGTTATTTGAACATACAGAGGAGATTATTTAAAAAGATAATTTGTTTTCATACCTGTGCGTCCTTCGGGCCAGACAAGCTTTGCCATGTTGATATGGGCCATTAATACTCGCGTATAAATGTCCTGTAAGATAATATGTATTTGTATCTTAGAGTTAAAAAAGCTTAAGCTATCATCGATTAAAATATAGAAACGCCTATATCAAATATGTATGGTATGGTTACACTATAAAATAAATTTGAGGCAAACCTTTTCCGCCTCTGTCGGAATTCCGAAGTGGAAGGATCTTGTCATATCCGTCGTTCCAGTATTCCTGTAGAATAATGTTGCTAATTGAAAGCAGTGCTTATATCAGTTAATTTGTTAAATCGCAGGTACAATTATTCAACTCTTAAATAAATCGGTCATTTGTAATATAGGGTAAAACACAATATTTATACGCGGGATGAAGTCGGGAGTCGTAGTCGATAAGAAATAAACAATACCTCTTAAAACCTCAAAATCATATATTTATATTTGCTCCACATTGCAACTACATAAACAAAAAAAATGTGATTTATTAGACAATAATTTTTAAGTAATCATTATGACGACACTTTAGCGATGACGTTATAATGTTGGTTATAGATGACTTATACCGGTTGATTGCCGTTTAGTTTATTGAAAGTCAATTTGATTTGTCTGTAATCTCGTTCAGAATCATCGGACTATAACTCCAAACAGATTGCAGTTTAATGCTTAATAATTTCTACAAATATGAAATAAAGCGCCAAAAGGAGTTCGCATTTGAAAATATAAAAAATGGAATAAATATCTATCTCTACTTACAGGTACTGACCCCCCGAATCTTGCATAAAAATATGTTCAGATGTTATTGGTTGGGAATCCTCCGGTGTCGGCATGTTATAAATTGGTGCAGCAGTCGGACCACTACCGGTGAGTGTCCTAAATGCTGGGGCCCGGAAGTAGGGGATTTGTCTGTTGGGAAACACATAACACAGTTAGTGTATATAAGGCTAAAAACTCAAATTTCAGACGGATTCTGGAAGGTAGTTTAGATAGAATATTTTTAAATCAATGTAGTTATTAGCATGAAAAGGACATTAAATGAAAAAACATCGGCGAAATGTAACTTACTTTCTGTAGTTGTGAATCTCATGAAAGGCGTCATACACTGTCCAATTCTTTCCTTGTTTCACCTTCAATTCCGAAACAACCCAGAATCAGAATTTTTTGTGAACTGTATTTTATCTAAATGCTTCCAAGATTTATTAATAAAGTTCTATTATTTGTGTATTCTTTTCTTCTATTAGTCATTTAGTGTATGATCCGTTTTGTGATCTTTGTTCCTCACACATCATCCTCGATATCCAGGGGTTAGGCTCACTTTCGCTCTCTACACCCCTGGAATATGTCTTAGCAAATTTGAAGGGACGAATATAGCTGTTTGATTGGTCTCAGGTAAAAACAACTGACCAATCGCTAGGCTGATACCTGTCCTTTGAAGATTACAAAGGAGAGACGCCCGACTTCAAAGCCTGTCAATTTTACAGTTACGTGACCGCGAGATTCTTATGATGCTCATCAAAGGATCGAACTAGTCTTCCTGTCTCATTAACAAGGTGGCGCACACCGAGCCTTCGATTTTTCTATGACATATTCCAGGTGTGTAGTGAGCAAAATGGAGCGTAACCCCTTGATATCGAGGATGCTCACACATTAAAATATATTGAAGTTGCAAAATGTAATTTTATCCACCATCTAACTGAAATGTGTTGGCTTGTTTGAGTGTTCTGTTTTAGCATTAGTATACACAATTCCGATTACCGATGAGTCCTAAAAGGACGGAATAGCTGTATGATGAAGTTAGATTTATTTCTGGCATACTCTGTCCATTTTAAAGATGCAATAACATATGTGTATGTTACGTTCATCTTTTAAGTATTAACAAGGAGACACAGTAGTCGTGTGGTAGGACGCCGGGCTCGTGACCGAAGGGTTGTGGATTCGAGTCACGGCACGGCACTGTGTTGTATCTTTGAACAACATACTTTACTCAGCTTATTCCTGTCTACTCAGCTGGAAATGAGTACGTGGTTGGGCAGTGCTAGAATTGTAGAATGCTAGCTGTGAGCGCCGAAATAGCAGCACCGGCTGTATGCTCCCCATGGAGACGAGAAAGATATTGGCTGGTTGCAAAGGCCCTATAACTACGGATAATAATTTATGAACCGCTATGAGACGACCGACGAACTAGGTTGTGATAAAGCGGTACATCATAACCTCGAATCATTATTATTAAATATAACTGCAGACAAGAGAATACCGTTCTTATTTGGCGATATGGCAATTTCCCATTTCAAAGTGCTATATGACTGAAATATACCACCATAAAATTATCAAGCAACGAATACAAGCTTAACTATTCTCTCTACATGTACAACTCATTCACAAGCTTCCATTCTTTACGTATTTATATGTAGAAGGGATACATTTCGACAAAAACGTTTTGAAAGATACACCATAATAGTATGACCTTTACACACTTTACCTCTTTTTCCAACTTAGCAAAGAATCGAATGGCGGCAACAGAATCCTGGAGCTACAATAACAGATGTATCATTATCATATCATATAATTATATGTATATTTCGGAGCTCAGTTTTGAGCAAAAGAGAATGATAACAGTTACAAACAATTGATGAGGCGATTGTGCTTTTCATTTGCTAGTGTTATAACAGCGATACTATCAGAACGTCCATTAAGTAAACATTGCTTCTATCGATGTACAGGCCTTCCTGGAATTCTGTTTAAGACAATACTTTTACTACTATACAAATACTGTCAATCGCATTAAAGTTGCCTTTCTGTTATTTAATTTTTTTTTTTATTATTTAATGTGCTTTTCATGATTTTTAAACTTAATGCAGTAGTTCTGCAAGAAATGAGAAAATCGAAAATTCGAAAATAATTAGTTCAAACATAAACTTCTCCTTACAATGTAAATCTAGTCGATTCTTGTTTATCTTTTCAACATACACATGCTAATAAAAGAAGAATTATTTTTAAATATCAGTTTTGTAACTAGGTAAAATTTACTAATACTTTCTAGGAACCATCAAGCGAGTTGAGTGAATTATGGTAAGCTTTTAAGTCTGGTTAGAAAATGAGATCCCATTCATTTTAACAGGTAATTCATATTAAATGGAACAGACAAGACAGTAGTTGTCTAAGCACTTATCGAATGGTTTGTTTACACATAAATGCAAAGCAAATAGGTCAGGAATATGCGAAGAAACAACGTACGTTTGCGTCTTCCATGCCTTTGATTTCTACAGGGTTTTTAACGGATTTCAGAATACGCACAGGTGTATTGTCCTGATAGATCTTGACCTGAAAAGACCAGAAGACAATCGGCAGTGAGGATAGTACAGCAATCTGAACAGACATGATTATAAATGGGTAAGATTTGCTTTTTTATAGTTAGTTGTGTAAATAGTAATTTCATACATTGTTAATTGCTTATATTACTTATACCCTCAGGTAATAAATTACTAACAAAAACCTTTTCCCCGACTTTCCTTTTTGTTCTATTAACACAATGAAGATTTATTGCAGGGAAACAAATGTCATCGTATACTGTATGAAACTGTACTCATGAACCCTACTTTAGGGACAGCTGAGTAGAGGGCGTAGCTGCAGTAGGGCGATAACCAGACTTTCCGAGTTTGTGGAATTGACGCAAGTCTCGTTACGTCCTTGACAACATCCTTTACATTGTACTCCCGGGTCTAAACAGAGCGAACAAAAGAAGATTTTAGGTAGGATGGTAACTGTATGCTAGGTATGAAACGCTTATTTTGCGTAGATTTAGAGCTATTTCTAATGGTGTTCGATGTGTGTATTAAAGTAAAAATACGGTCAATATTTGTAGACTTATAATCGATTTAACATGTTGGTCAGTAAACATAGTTGATATAATATTCGAAAAATTGATAGCAGATTGCAAATTTGACAAGACAAGCATATATTAATTATAACAACATTAAATATAGAATTTTAATTGCGTTATCATTCATTTCAGAATCCTAGAAATAGTTTTGACATTGTGAAAGACTCCGTTTTACATTCACTTTATATCACGGTAATTATGTGATAGGCGAATGATAAACAACAGAACGAATAATAGAACGGACCTACCTGTACTATAGGGTTCTGTGAACATTCGTCAGCTGAATAGGGACTTTCTATGTAACCATTTTCTGTCTGTACAGAAATGTGAAGGTAAAACAGTGCACAACAGTATGTAACTCGTCTTATAAGTCTTTCAAATTCAGATATATAGAGATAACTACTTGTTTAGTTACAGAGATCATAATGTTTCTTACATTTCGGTACTACTTAAAGAATATTATACATCAATGTTTCTTACCACCATTACAGAACATCGCCCATCTCCTATATCCAAGTGGTTCTCTAGCGTCATATGAACTTCAGGATCCGAGGGTCTCCCAGAAAGCATAGACTTGTGGTCAAGGATATATAACCTGCGAGATGAGAAACAATTCTGTATTGTATTTCACTTGAGCTAGAGATTCCGAACAGATTGGGATAGATATAGCGACTGAGCGTTGCTTGTCACTACGTACTACTACAATTTACTCGGATCACTAGTACTGTTGTACTCCTAGTCGTTCAGTTTACTGGTGTTCCTGAAAACTTTCTGGTCAAACGATTCTCAAATCATAATTATGACGACGTACATTTAATACAATGTTTCTTCACCAGATGGACAAACGCTCTTTATTTCCTTTGAGAAGAGAGTATAAAGACAATATTAAGATCACATTCCCACTGGTTACCTTGTAATACGTGTCCGTCTTTCTATCACAGCAAAGGAATAGAAGAATGGATCGAAGCCAAACGAAAAAGCTCGCATGTTGAACAGCCCTGGTAGAGTAAAACATAGTTTTGATTTGATTAAATGTGGCAAGCTAAAATTAATAAAGACTTTTCATTCAACAAACATTTAGATAAAAAATATGCATATGTTCGATGTGTACAAATCCTTCGTGAATGTTGTAACATCGCTATTATTTGAAACTATAAAGGTAAGTAAAAAATAAGGGTTGATGTTATCATGTCTGAACTGAATTTATAGATGATTTACCATGACATCAATGGTTTGAAATACACTTACATGGGTTCTCATCGAGATCTGACACCACAAGTACGTCCACCCCTGCTTTGGTCATTTCCTCGAGGACATCCCTCATCTTATCCTGCCAACTTCTACCTGTAACATGAAGTATCAATACGTTTTAGTGCGTTTTAATCAAGGTTAAGTTTGTCTACAATGTGGGATAAAAGTCATGGGTGCTGATTGTTTTTCATTCGTTATTACTATTATTCATATGTATATGCATATGAACGTGTTCATATCGCCTTTTGCATAATAATTTTAGGGGTTATCACGACAAAACAAATAGAACAAACATGTTTTACTACTGGCCTCTCCTTGAAAATAACGTGAATGTCCAAGAGACACAACATTACTGATGTTCTTGAGTGCCACGAACGATCAGTATTGGACTGGGTTTTTTAATATCAAATGCCATTAACAGTAAAGATTTTTCAATAAAATTGGAAAAGTGTCTTCCAAAATGAAAAGAAGTGACCACTATGATTTTTATCTGTTAAAGCAACTGAATTATGTAGAGTAATTTTAAAAAATTGCTAAAAATGGTCAATTTTCGTGTTTTTATGGGTTTTTTTTAAATTCATGTCTTGTTGCAATGGCTCGTTGTACTACGGTAAAGAGGGATTAAGCTCTTACTTATGTCGCATGTTGCGTATGTTCCAGAAAATAGCATATTTAGTAATTAGAAGTCCGCGAATAAACCGTCCAATAGTATTTGCTAGATAATTGTATTTGTTATAGACAATGAACACCTTTTATGCATATGCAATTAGCTCAAGGCTGTGTTTGAAAATCTACAATATAATTCACTTTAAATAATAATACTTATTGTGAGCAGAAATCTTGAACTTGCCAACATGGCGTCTGTCTGATAAACAGAATGATATCAACTTAAAGCATCAAGAAATATGGTATTAAGATTTTGGTGGACGATGTGGTTTTGAAGTCTTCAAACGACGTTTTTAGTATTTTACATTGTTAAACCTACCAGCAAACTGTATTGGTAAAGCATTGATTGTGACGTTGATTTGCGGGGGCCGGTCATCGACCCACACCTGGTCAACTAGATCATCTTCTATTCCCAACAGAGTTATATTGTCCTTTGCAAAGCTCAGCTCGAAATTCTTCCACCAGACTAAATAAAAAATCAGGATTCGAAACATGATTACTAACATAAAATCGAAAAATATATGCTTACTCACTATGTATAAAATTCATATTTTTCGTCGAAATCTGTTTTCTATTGACCAATTCAGACTTGTTAATAAAATTCAATGGAAAACCCACAAGACAAGTAGTTAAACTAGGTGTTAATCACAGAACAATCGTTGGTGAATTATCAAACTGGAAGTTAAAAATATTTACGATAGCTTAATTCATATGGTACCCATAGACAGGTAGTAGCACTTGGCAGGTGGTAGTTACAGTTTTCAGGGAACTATATGTAGCCCCTGTGACATTGTGATACACTGTGAAATGTAGATGTGCAATAGGGGTTTAAAAAATCTAAGGTGAATGTCAGAATTGGTATTAACATACACTTGGTAGTCAAAGACAGTTTGTAGCTTAAACAGGTAGTAGCCGTTTCAGTTAAGGATAAAGGACATATGGTTGACAGATTGTAGATATAGACAGGTAAATTTCAAAGACAGGTAATCCTTATAGACAGGTAATCATTATAGACAGGTAATCCTTATAGACAGGCGTCAGTTACAGACTAATGATTTCTATTTACTGGTGGTAACTATATACCGTTGGTAACTATGTACCAGTGGTAACTGTATACCGGTGGTATCTACATGTATATACCTGTTGTAACTATATACCTGTGGTAACTATTACCGTTGATAGCTATATACCTGTGGTAACTGTATACCTGTGGTAACTATATACCGTTGGTGCTATATACCTTTGGTAATTATATACCGGTGGTAATTATATACCTGCGATTACTATATACCGGTGGTAACTATATACCTGTGGTAACTATATACCGGTGGTAACTATATACCGGTGGTAACTATATATCTGTGGTAACTATATACCGGTGGTAACTATATACCGGTGGTAACTATATACCTGTGGTAACTATATAGCTGTGGCAACTATATACCGGTGGTAAGTATATACCTGTGGTAACTATATACCGGTGGTAAGTATATACATGTGGTAAGTATATACCGGTGGTAAGTATATACATGTGGTAACTATATACCGGTGGTAAGTATATACCTGTGGTAACTATATACCGGTGGTAACTATATACCTGTGGTAACTATATACCGGTGGTAACTATATACCGGTGGTAACTATATACCTGTTGTAACTATATAGCTGTGGTAACTATATACCGGTGGTAACTATATACTTGTGGTAACTATATAGCTGTGGTAACTATATACCTGTGGTAACTATATACCGGTGGTAAGTATATACCTGTGGTAACTATATACCGGTGGTTAGTATATACCTGTGGTAACTATATACCGTTGGTAACTATATACCTTTGGTAATTATATACCGGTGTTAATTATATACCTGCGATTACTATATACCGGTGGTAACTATATACCTGTGGTAACTATATACCTGTGGTAACTATATACCTGTGGTAACTATATACCGGCGGTAAGTATATACCTGTGGTAAATATATACCGGTGGTAAGTATATACCTGTGGTAACTATATACCGGTGGTAAGTATATACCTGTGGTAACTATATACCGGTGGTAAGTATATACCTGTGGTAACTATATACCGTTGGTAACTACATACCTTTGGTAATTATATACCGGTGGTAATTATATACCTGCGATTACTATATACCGGTGGTAACTATATACCTGTGGTAACTATATAGCTGTGGTAACTATATACC